CATACACATACATATGTAGTCTTATCTAGAACAGACATAATGCTAGATTAATACTGCTCTTGATATTCAGGTATTCAAAATCGGAAATATATTCATGGTATTTTTCAGGTATATCTGGATCTGTTAATTAGAATAGTTTGGCTAATTTTGTTTTTAGATAAGTTACGATTCAACCATGGAAATATGTATATAATAGATGATAATAAATCCAAACTGGCTAAAGAACAATCACTACACTAGCAAAGATGTAAATAAAGAAGTAAATAATATAAGCAACCATTACACTTAGATAACCAAATACATGGAGATCCTGCTAAAATTTACAATGGAAAATCATAACTTTTTGGAGAAACAGATTTTCTTATGATAGTTAAAACAAGTAATCAGGAAATTGTACAGTAAAAAAATATGTTTACAACGAATTGGGATGGATCGATCACATTCAGTGATCTCTTAAAAGAGGAAAGGCGCTTATACAAGGCATATACTAAATGGGATCATACTACATAAAGTCAAAGCAAAACCATGTTGGAAGGTACTGGATATGGAAGCGTTGTATCTATTTGTAGAAACATAATTTTAATTAACGGAAGCATTGGGTTTCACTATGATGTTTGTACTTAAGAGTCTTAGCCAGAAATTGCTGGCTAAACATAAAATTCCCATCAAAAGAAATACATTTATGATTATTAGCAAAAAAAAAATACATTTATGGAGAAGTATATATATGTGTGTGTGTGTGAAGAACCTTGTAGAGAGAGAGTGGCCAAGGATGTGAGTGGAGAGGAAGAGAGAGTATGTGAGAACGTGAGATTAAGAGAAGTGCGCTATAACCCGTGTTCAAAAACGCGCCCGCCTGGCCGAGAAATCGCCCGATTAAAGAGTCATCGGAAGGTCACCGTGGCGTAGAGGTGAAATCGGTGGGTTTAGGCGATGAAAAAACAAATTCACGCAAAAATCAAAATTTTGGGTGCTAAATCATAGTTTATGTTATAGATCTATCATATTCTTAGAAAACCCACAAGAATCACATGTAAAAGCTCTTAAATTATGAAAAGAAAAATGAAAAACGCGACATTGAAGCTCTGTAAATCGCAGGAAAAAGATTGAAGATAAGGACAAAATTGTTATTTGCACTCATTAACCGGAAAGCTTTAAAAAAGAAGTGAAAGTGCACTTCCTTTCCCTCGAACCCGCGTAGTGAATGCTGTAAGCAGGAAAACAGACCACCAGGCGACGTAATCTCATTGTTAAAATCTCACATATTAAATATATATACGCATTATAGGTCAAAATATATAATATAAAATCCCCGATTAATCTCCGTTTAATTCCGATTTTTTTGGTAAATTGCTAGGCGCAGACCGGCCGCCCGACTAACGCCTAGCGTAATTTCGAACAGAGGATATAACTAGAGGAGAGAGAGAATGGGAAAGGACAAGAGGAAAGAGAGAGGTAAGAGAGAGAAAAAGCGAGTGAGGACTGGAGAGAGAAAGGGGTGAGGAGGGTCCCTTGCTAACTCGTCTCATCTTATTTCATTTTCGTCGATAGTTTTTGAAGTTAGTTTTACCAAAGTTTATTTCATAAAACACTGTTTAGTTTTTCTTTACGAAAGATGTTCTATAAAACTTTTCAAAGTTGCTTTTAAAGAAGTTTGCATCGTCAAAAATATGTTTGTTTAAAAAGAAATATGTTTCAAAAAAAAAATCGAAGTTAGTTTTACAGAAGTTTGTTTCGTAAAAAATGTTTGTTTTGTTTTATGAAAGAAGTTTTGTAAAACTTGTTGAAGTTGCTTTTACAGAATTTTGTTTAGAAAAAATATGTTTTATTTTACGAAAGATGTTGTATAAAACTTATCAAAGTTAGTTTTATGAAAGTTGTTTCGTATAACTATTTAGTTTCGTTTTAAGAAAGCTATTCTGAAATGTTATCAAAAAAATTGGCATGGCATATGCATAATTGTTCTCTTAACATTTTTGGCTCATTTTCGCAGACAATGCGTTTGGTAGAGTGACTTTAGCCATTGATTTGATTAAGATAGATTTTAGACCCAACAAAGCTGTTTATATACATCGAGTTTTTAGGCAAAGGTGTATTCATTTCATACTACAAAAAGAAAATCATAATTTGTTTTGAGTATTACACCAGAATCATAATTTTATTTGTCATTGCATATTTGCATGTATAGGTAAGGTTTATAGATTACAATTCACATAAACAACCAATAACACAAAACAAAAGTTGTGAGCCTTTGTGTTTAGGTGTGTATTATAGAGGTGTTCAATCAGGATGTCGGTTCGGTTTCGGTTCAGTTTATTGGTTTTCGTTTATAAAAATAGCTACCATATTAATATCATATCTACTTTGGTTTGGTTCAATTTTTTTTGTCATATGTTGTTATATTGAATTTCAACTGGGAGGCACAAGACCTGTTACACTGAAACTGGTTGTCGTATAGGACGACACCAGAAAACCAAAGCTGGCGGTTAAAAGATACAACCCCAGAGACAAAGGCCAACGATTGCCAAAAGACAATCTTGGATACAAAAGCACAATACGAAACACTTAAACTAACTAGCAAACTTAGCAAAGACTACACAACAAAGACAAGAAACTAAACACCCTAGACGAGAGTCAAAATCCAGCCATAGAAAGAACGAAACAGGCCCAATAGATTATGTATAACCGTTGCTGTAGATTGTGCCTCCAATGCCCCTCTGCTTCACCGACCCCCCCCCCTTCAAAACCAACTAAACTCGCCATTGGACTATGAAGAAAGGTACCACGCACCTTCTACGCGCCTTTTCTCCACTGCCTCCAGATCCAACTCAAACTCACCATTGGACTCTGTAAAAGCTCACTACGCGCCATCTACGCATCTCACCACCACGGCAAAGCTAACCAAACCCTACTTGACACGCTCTTAATCAAAACAGCCGGTAACCACAAATCCACCGCCATATGCTGTAGATCTAACAAGATCGAACGCCATGGATTCTGATTTTAAACTCTCCGCTTCAATCCATAAAATCAAAGCTTTCGACCAGATCTGAAACCCTCTAGACTAAGAAACAAGATTTAAATCCACAGAGCAAACATATAAGGAAAATATAGTAGATCTGACCGATGGTGGTGCTAAAGGAGCCACCACGCGCCGGTCACCGGAGCCAAGAAAACAAAAAGCTTGAGGAGGAAGAGGAGAGAGGTGTGATTTATTCAATTTAAATACTAACAGTTTTGGTTTGTTCGATTTTATACCAAAAACCATAACTATATTTACTTTTATGACAAATTTTAGTTTCTATGATTAGAAATCAGATTTTTGAAAACAGAATATCCTTCTATTTAATTTTTACTATTAAAATAAAAATAATATTATTAATTAACTATATTTTAGCAAAAAATATTTACCAATAAAATATGTTTATTTAATTTGATGAAAATGAGCCAAAATTTAAACTTAGAATAATAAAAAATAATAAAAAATAAAATTAGTGCTTTAGATATGATTATCATATTAATAAGTAATCATGCATACATTATTATATAGTTTTTATATAAGCACACTAATATATTTTAATTAGTCGGTTTCTTCGGTTTATTCGTTTTTATCGGTTTGTATACCGAATCATATCCATATACTGCGGTTTCTTAAAATTAACATTCATATGTTCGGTATTATGAAATTCAAATCATTTTCTCTATTTCGGCTTGGTTCAGTATTATCATATTGGACTCTCCTATGTGTAAAAGAATTACAAAACTGTATATTTATTTAAGGAGAAACAACCATTAAACCTCCAACTTTCGCATTAAAGCTTAAAAACCTTCAGTTTGTGTTTAAGCTAAAAAAACTTCTTAACTTTTAAATGTTGATCGTTTTAACTCTCATATTTTGTTGACTTAGCATTTAAGAAACTTAAAAAATCAACTATTAAACTCGAGTAAATACTATTATACTCAATACAACAGCGTTTTAAAAATCATGTTGTTTAACAAAATCTCAAATCGATTTCATCTTCCACAAATTGATTTTAGAGATAATCTCCAATGAAGATTATCTCTAAAATATCACCTTCCCAATACGAGTATTGAACTGGGAATTATGTATTCGAGTGAGGAAAATGAAATTGACAATGATTTTTAAAACGTTGTCATATTGGTGTGACGGTCTTTACTCAAGGTTAATTGTTGCCTTTTTAATTTTTTTAAATGGCCGAGTCAAGATAATATGAGAATTAAATGGTCAATATTGAAAAGTTGAAAAACTTTTGACTCAAATACGAGTATGAAATTTGTTCGGTTTTAATTTGAAAGTTGAAGGTTTTAATGGATGTTATATGTGTTTTAAAGTATGCAATAAAACAAATAGAAGTTTGATATGTTTATGATTAAACCACGCAATTGATTATTATGGGCAAACCGTGGCTACCCGACCTCGGTTACCTTCTATTTCCAATTCTTGTTGGGATGGTTCATGTATCGGGTTCTTTTCTATCTTTTTTTTTTTTTTTTTGATTAACGGTTCTTTTCTATCTTGTAATTTGTCTTACATTCAATTGGGCTGACTAAAAAACTGGGCTAATAAATTCGCGCGGGAGGATGATAGTTGTTAAAATCTCGCGGGAAAATTGAACGGTTCCATATGTTCTCAAGTAAACCTGAAAAATTGAGGGGAAAATCAATAAAATAATCAAAGGCGCGAAAAAGAGCCGTTGCGAAACAAAACTCTCACATTATGGCGCCAAAAAAGACGGTGGTTCAGAGACTGACCGTAATTTTTCTCGGGCAGCTAAAATTCGTTATTTAATCGATTACAAATTTACCCCTTTTTCTTCTTTCTTTTTCAAAAACTTCCTTTTTCTCTTTCTCTTTTTTTTTTTTTTTTCCTGAGAGTCGGCATATGCAAACGTAGAGAGAGAATATTTATTTGACTATTTAAAGCTTTCTTTATATCAAGTCTCTCTCATTTTCTTCTCCTTCTTCTAAAACCTTTCCTTTTATTCTCTCTAATCATTTTCTTGTTCGTGTTCCTTATTCTGATTCCTCTTCTTATCATTTGTTTCAAAAAAGAAACCATCTTTTCTAATTTCTACACCCTTCTTCTTTTCACTCTCTCTTCTTTACATTGTTAGTACTCTGTTTTTGGAGTTCAAATAGAGAAAAAAAGATATGGGTTTCTCAAAGAAATCTCAATTCGACGGCGGTTTAGATTCCGAAGGGAAGAAATGGGTTATCGCCGGAATTGGGATTCGGACTTCGTTGAAACCAGTGAAGACAAAACTCAGAGCACCAGAGACTGAAGCCGAAGTTGAAGAAGAGGAAGAATGTTCGAAGACGCCAACTGCGAAGGAAGCAAAGATACCTGAGAAGTTGAAATGTCCACCAGCACCGAGAAAGAGACGGCCGGCGTTAAAATGTCGGAGTAACGCTGTTACAGAGTTCTTTACTCCTCCTGAGGATTTAGAGACGGTGTTTATACGTCGCCGTTAAGTAACAGAAACAAAAATATTAGCGAGTTTGTATATTAGTCGTGTAACGTATTAATTACAAACCATGAAACTTCAGTTACAATATTAGTATTTAGTTTTTAACTTTTTTTTGTAGTGTTTACATTTCAAATTTCTGTTTCTGTTTTTTTTTTTTTATTGTCATAAAGGGAAGTTTATTGTACAAAGATGTAAGTTTAATGATGATAATGGGTAGCTTCTAAATTAGCTTAATTCCATATTATGTTTATCACAGAGCTTAAATATTTTCATGAAATTTTGCTTTGATAAAAGACAGTCTATAAATATACATTGCAAAGATGTGAATCTAGCGATGATCATGATCAACATCCAAACTAAATTTAGTTCCATATGTACTTCAGCATTTCGGTTTTATTTATATATCGGTTTCATGAATATTCTGATTATAAGTACTGTATATGCACAAATATCAGTGCACAACTTGTAAAATACTAATTTGGATGTAGACGATTACTGATAAAAGAAAGAGTATAGAAAAGTGTAGTTACAATTACAATCTCAGAGCCTTTAAGATTCGGCCGACGAAGACCACAGAGGAAGTGACGTGCGCAAAACGTACCAATAAACTTAACCAGTAAAATATAATAATAGTAAAACTGACCAATAATTTACACGAGAAGAAGCCTATACGTCAAGCCTTTGATCCTCTTCTTATTGATCTAACTTTTGTTTGTTTTTGACGTGATAATATTCAATATCATCATTGGCTGAAATTATTTTTTTGCCGGCCAACTAATAGACTGGTTACCCTCAGTACATGTTTTTGAGTATTCGATGCACTATATTTCTAGGCGTTTCATTCAATTCGGTTCTCATTTTTGAATTTTAAAAAATATTTATGTTCCTTTTAGTTCATATCAACGTTGCCTTGGTTCACATTAACGAGTGTTGAATCAGCTTTTGGATTTTTGGATGTTTTTTGGATTGACCCGGACCAAATACTTTTATTTATCTTCGTATAAATACGTATGATGTTAATACAAAATATATATACATATATAATCCATATATTGATGTCCGAGTGTTTGAAAAATCCATACAAAAATCTTCTTCAAATGAAGGCATTTCCGATATATAATTATGCATGCTTTACTTTATCAAATGTTCTAGATGTGGGACAAGATAGTTTTCATTAAACAAATAATATGGTGGGATCTTTTATCATATGTTTATTCTAAAGAAAAAGATGAATATATGATTGAACTATTTAAAAGAAGAAGAAATTAACAATTATATAATGCACACATGTAATGTTTTATTTAATGACATTAAGGGATTGTAAAGAATTCCAATGCATGACCCTTTTAAGGAGGCCTCTTCTAAAGCCATCCAACAAATGTTATTCTTTTATTTCAGGTTAAAGAGCTTTTTACGTGCACAATTGCACACTCACCGGTCCATTCTCTTTATGTTATTGACTACTACTTTGTGTAGTATAATACATTAATAAAAAAAAAATTTGATAAAAAATACATTAATTAAATAACCGTCTAAGACATTATGATTACTAATTACTCATGCTTTTTTTTGGTAAAAATTAATTACGCACCAGTAGTGTATTTTCTGTACTATTTCATAGTATTAAATATATGTGTTGAGTGTTACAAAAAGAAAAAAATATGTGTTGCATGTAAACACTATGTCACTCCTTTATGTTCTTGTGGTTTGAGTTGTGAAAAGGACAAAATAGGGTTCAAGAATAGCGGTGCGATAGGAGAATCCAATGTGGGATGTACTTAACGCTTTGTTTGGTTCCTTCACGCGACAGCGACCAGTCTCGTGTTTTGTTCTTCAATCTCTAATGAGATTTGGACTAGGGAGACTATGACGATTAAGTTTTGACGAGTTGGGATCATTCTTGTGAACGAGTTTATAGTTCACCCGACTTGAATTTATAAGAACTAAGACTTTTTTTTTTTTTTTGACGTCTAAGACAATTTCTTTCCTTGAATATATCTGTGAATTGACTGAATGCGCTACCACCAAATATTCTTATGTTTTGCTTTCAATACAAAATATTTAGTAGCTTAGTAATTATACGGCCATGTAAAAATGAATGGAGAAAAGGAAGTCCAAGTTTAAATTAAACTTGTATAAATCCAATCCGTAAAAGTGAAATTAGAGAAGTGCTAAAAATCATTAGTAGGGAGTTTGTAACTTTATATACTCATTCGGGTTCGGTTCGGATCTATTTGTGTTTCGGGTTTTTGAGATTAAAAATTCTAGTTCCATTCGGTATTTATAAATTTTGGTTGGAGTATGGTTCGGATCTTTACGGGTTTAGTCCGAGTGCGGATAACCCATTTAAACTATTTTAAAATTTTTAAAATTCCTATATATTTTAATCTTTTCAAAATCTAAAAATAAAATAATATATGATAACTGACATATAAATTTGAGCAGTATATGCCAAAATACCTAAATTTGACATAAAATTTGGTTTAACATGAATATTAGAAAATCAATATAGAGATTTTAAGTATTTTGGTGTTTTGAGTATTGTTTATTTAGAGATTTAATTTTGACTATATGTATATATTTCAAATATGTTATACAACTTCAAGGTATTTTAATACATATTGGATATTTTTTTGGATATTAAATCTAAAAATAACTAATATATTCAAGTATATAAATCTGATTCGTATCTATATGTATACCTGAAATTTTAGTTTGAATTGGATTCGGTTCTACTTCTTTAATTATCAAAATTTTGAAACTGTTTGAATATTTAACAAGTTTCGATTTGGATTCGGATTTTTTCCCAGGCCTAAAAATCATTATGCAAGTGATTGGTTTTTGAGAAAGCTCAGACCTAAACTGTAGCAAATGCAAAAACCTAGACCGTACTTTTGTCTGGAAGAAACAAAAGAAGAAAAAACATAGCTTGAATTTGTCAGTTTACTGTCACTAAGACGGATATTGGATAAAGCTTTAAGGCTTCGCCGCACAATGTTTTCTTAAATTAACATGTATCTCATCAGTTATTATTATAAAGCTGACATTTGTGTCTCTTAATATTCCAATTACTACTAATCTTTTTTCTTATCAATTACTCCTTTTGTTTCATATTAAATGTCGTTTTAGAAAAAAATTTTCGTTACAAAATAAATGTCATTTTCGATTTTCAAGATAAAATTTATTAATTTATTATATAGTCTATTTTTCTATTAGTTGATATATAGTTAGGTGTACATGTAATTGTGTTTTTATATGAAAAATATGCAAAATTAATGGTTTCCTTATTCTGTGTGCATGAACCTAAACGACACTTATAATGAAATAAATGGAGTATTATTAAATCTTACTGAAATAGATATTTTCACCATATCAAATATAGTAGCATTGATTTTACAGTATATATAGTATCATTTGTGCTTGTTTTTTCGACGCAGATGCCGTATTGGATATATTACAAAACTTTTAAACGTTTGAAGTAAAAAGATTTGGGTTTGAATCTTAGATCGATCATATGTTCAAAAGTCATTGGTTGAACTGTTTGATTAGCCATGACAATGGTGTTTTTTCGTTGATTTTCTTAAAAATATCACTTATTGGTTGATCCGATCTTTGAGAGAAACGTTTCAGCAGAGTAGACTAGTAATCGTAGTTAGGGGTGGGCACGGATCGGATGTCTGAGTTCTTCGGGGTATTTGTGATTTGTTTCGAATGTTACGGATATCTAATTTTTGTATTTACTTTGCTTCAAAAAATACGGATATCCGGAAAAACGGATATCCAAAAAATAAATAGATATTTGCGGATATTTACGAATATTTACGGATATCTCATCCATTTTGATTAATGCAGGTAATCTTAAAATTTTGATACAAATTTGCTTTCCAAAAATATTTTTAGCATGATATATAAAATAAAAATTAAAGGAACAAATGAATTTACATATTTGTCATTTTTTTAAGTTTAAGTTACAATTATAATAACACAAAATTTAAGAAAAAAATATAATTGTCATAAATGTTTTCTCTTATGTAATACTTTTATATAAATAATAATGTGAATAGAATTTTTCAAAATCATGTACTAGAATAATAGTAATTATATAATTTTATACATTCAAAATTTTAAATATAATCAAGATATACATATATTTATATATTTTCGGATCGGATCGGGTATCCGCTTTTCAAAATTGTAATATTTGTGATTTGCTTCGATTTTAACGGATATTAATTTTTAGTATTTGCTTTGATTCGAAAATTTACGGATATTCAGAATTTTCCTTTTTTTTTTTTTTGAAAAAATGTTAAATTCATTCAAAAAGAAAAATAACTTTTGCTACAACTTTGCATTGACTGTAAATAGAAATTTCCTAACAGAAAACACTAATCTTTTTCTCTATGATCTTGTGGCAAGCCACATTTGGTATCCTCCTTGAAATTTTCTATCCCCCATCTCCCTTATGGTGGATATTCTATTTCTTATCTCCTTGTCAATCAATCTTACTAGCACCTGCACCCTTTTCGGGTCTTCTCCATGCCGTCTATTATTTATCTCCCTCCACAAGCAGTAAATAGTGATCTGAAAAGCGTAACGGAGAAGAAACTCATCAAGCTTTGCTCTCCCTTTATCAACCAACAAACTCAAGAGGTTCTCCCAAATATCCCTGTAACGACCACCCATCAGACTTCCAATAACCGCTTTCCAGACTTCACTAGAGAAGCTACATTGAAAGAACAAGTGATCTCTAGTCTCCATATCAGTATTGCACATGACACAAACCGGATCAATAGTAGCATCCCATTTAATCATCCTATCCCCTGTGGACAATCTTTTAAGAATCGCCAACCAAGTGAAAAAGGAGTACTTAGGTGTCGAGTAATCAAACCAGACAATCTCTTTCCAAGCAACCACTGCACTCTGCTTTCGAATCTGATTCTAAGTCACCTTTGAGTTAAACTTCTCTTTATAGCAATCATCCTTGTGCTTCCAAAGCACCTTATCATCCTCCTCATTTATTAGTCTATTCTCCTGAATCACAAGAATACTCTCAATATCACTCAAATCGGTCGATAATCCTTCATTTCTTTAGCTCCCAACTTCTTAGGAATTAAAGCCAAAATTGTAGTGTTAACACCTTTTGGCAGAAACCCTTTCTCAAAGAAGGATTTCACTGCTATGATGAACTCAGCACCCACAATT